AAAATTTCTCCCATTCGCTCTTCATATGTATTTTGTCACATCTCCTTTGGGGACTCCAATTAGACATATATTAATCCTTCTGAAATTTTCCCACAGTTTACTGATGCTTTTAAAATATTTCTTAGCCCTTTTTCTGTGTTTTACTTTGAGTAAACTCTACAGATATGGTTAAGTTAGCTGATCTTTTCTTTGGCAGTGTCTAATCTACTGTTAATCCACCCCATGTATTTTTCATCTCAAACATTGTATTTTCATTTTTAGAAGTTCAGTATATGGGTCTTTTTATATCTTCAGTGTCTGCTTAACCTGCTCAGTCTTTGCTTTACCTTCTTGAACATATGAAATACAGTTATAATCACCTCTCCAGTACTCTGGCCTGTGAACTTTAGCTGCCACATTCTACCTGGACTCTCAGCTTCAACTCCTCAACTCAGGGAGATCACTGGGCACTGTCTGATCTTCCCCTCCCTGCACTGTAGCCAGGAAGCTCTCCACACAGTAAGCTGGGAGCAAGCCTAGGGCTCATCTCATTTGTTTCCCCTCTTTCAGGAGTCTCTATCCTGCACTATCTAATGCCCAGTGTCTGAAAACTTACTTTATATATTTTGTCTTTTCTTTTAGTTGTTTGAAGCAGTAGGTAGGGTATGTCTGATCCTTAGCTAGCAGCGGAAATCCAGAATGTTTCTTGAATCCATGGATATCTTATCATCTCTACTGCCTTCACCATCATCCTCCCTCTCTTGGCCTGAGAGATCCTTTCTGGCCTCTCTGGTCCCCTCACTACCTCTCTTGTTCCTCTCTGGTCTATTATCTACTTCATAGCCCAAATGGTCTTCTTAAAGCATAAATGAGATTATGGCACTCCTTCACTTAAAACTCTTTAGTGATGTTCTAATGCACTTTTATTTATTTATTTATGTGGCTGCATCCGGTCTTAGTTGCGGCATGCGGGATCTTTGCTGTGGCATGCGGGGTCTTTCACTGCAGTGCACGGGCTCTTCGTTGTGGCACGCTGGCTTCTCTCCAGTTGTGGCACGTGGGCTTCAGAGTGCACAGGCTCAGTGGTTGAGGCGCACGGGCTTAGTTGCCCCGCGGCATGTGGGATCTTAGTTCCCCGACCAGGGATTGAACCTGCTTCCCCTGCATTGGAAGGCAGATTCTTAACCACTGGACCACCAGGGAAGTCCCTCTAATGCACTTTTAATAAAATCCAGATGTCTTACTTTGGTTTGCAGTGTCCTGCATGATCTGGCCCCTGCCTACCTCTCCAAATTCATCTCTTTGTTCCCTACATTTTAGCTACATTGTTTTTCCCCATTTCCCTGAATATTCCAAGCTCAGAAAGACCTCAGGGTCTTTCTGTACGTGACCAGGCAGCAGCCCCTAGCCATTGCACCAGGGAACCTACAGCAGATCCTTTCCCGTGATCTACCCAGACCCATAAAATTCTCTGCATGTGGGGAGTATCCTGAGTCCTGGACCACATTCTTATCCTTTGTAGTTTTTCTTAGAAATCAGCTGTTTAGCTAATGCTTTGGGATTCATTCCACTGAACCCTAAAACCAAGCACACTACCCGGCACACCCCCACTTGGACTCTTCTTCAGAGCACAACTTGTCAAGTGGTCAGGGAGGCCTCTCAGGGTCTCCTCATCTAAAAAGGTCCCCCTGTTATTTTCTGCCTTAATTCCCTATTCCTTTCTTAGGAATATTTACAAAAGTTTCTGTTTTTTATGAGCTTGTATTTTGTCATCCTCCCCACTAAATTAAATATTCCATGAGGGGAAGGGTGAAATGTATCTTTTTCACCGTTCTCAGTATCCATCACCCTAACTGTCACAGAATAAGTATTTAACAGTATTTGTTGAATGAAAGGATACTTAGTAGAGGATGTGAGACACGTGGTTCAGAGAAGGATATTTTTTTAACATGGGACAGACTTAAGTCGGTCTTAAGCATGCGTAAGAACTGTGCTAGCCTCTGAGTCCTGTGTTGGTGTAAGAAGTTTCTTAGATCCACAACTGTAGTTGTTTCTTGATCATTCAGTTTACCCCCATGAAGGGGAAAGCATGCTTCTGAGCGTAGAGTCCTTGAATCTCAGAAGCAGAAATGGCTCCAGAGATGATCTAGTGTCTATAGCCCAGCAGACAGTTGTGTTCATCTGACTTCTGCTTAAATACCCCTAATGATATGTTGCTCACAGTCACCTTTGGCAAAATCAGTTTTATTGTTCGATACTTTTGATTACCAAATGCCTTCCTTGTTGAGCTGAAATCTACCTTCTTATAACTCCTACCCCTGAGCTACTCTGAAAACAAATCTACCTCCAGCCCTCTTCTCTACCCATGACTGCCCTTGGTGTCTTTGTCTCCTCTGACTTTTCTCCAGCCTGTATATGCCCATCCTCTTTCTCCTTTGCCATGAATTCTAAGGCCTCTCACCACCGTTCTGGTCATCCTCCACTGGGACCTCTAGTTTTTAAGGTCAGCCTTGCAATGTGATACTCAGAAGATCTGCTTCTCACTGAAAATAGCTGTGTAAGGAGCAAGGTCCTTGTCTTTGTTTACCTCTGCATACCCCATACCTAGCACAGTGGCTGGCACACAAAGGGTGTTTGTTGAATGAATGAACGAGCTCCCTCTCATGCTGATTGTTCTCATGTCTCCAGCATTCACTGGTGAATTCAAGTTGATCCTGTGAGGTTAAGGGATTTCATCTCCATTTTATAGATGCACAAGCTGAATCCCAGAAAAAACGTGGTGATCATTGACTAATCATCATGCCAGTAACGGAACTTAAGTGTTCCAGCCCCAACTTCCGATCCCTGGGCCAGTGGTTTCAAAGTTTGTTTTGTTTTAGCAGTAGAACTCCTTTTTTGCAAAGGTAAGATTATATGAAACTCTGGTATATAAAAGCTAAAACCAGAGCTGTTTTGATAGAAGCTGGGATGAGGCCGAGGCTCTACCATGGAGCTGGGAGTTCTGCAGGGCTCTGTGGAGCACAGTTGGAAAGCACTGCAGTCTTCTGCCCTGGCATCATCCTACTGAAGGCAGCCAGGGCCTCATGTGATCAGCCTTAAGCTGACTAGGACCTCTCAGAGCCTTGGGCATGATGCTTCATTTGTCCTCTTCAGCTCATTAGGATAAGAATTTAATGACCTTGCCTAGTCCAGGTGCCACCAGTCCAGATTTTCAGACCTCTCAACCAGAATCCAGATTTCTTTTACCATTCTTAGCATTGCCAAGAGAAGAGACACTTACTGATTTTGCATCAGCATCTGGTGAACCCCTGGCATTGTCATCATAATTATTCTTCACATCTGTTAGCTCATGTGAAGTAGGTCTTTGCTGAGTAAAATGAGTACTAGAAAGGTGAGGTCAATACTGTGCTGATAAATACAGAAACTAGAGTTCATTTTTTTCTTGAGCTATTGCAGAGAACTTCGGTTTACACTCTAACTCTGAATGAAGAATAAAATACAACTCTCCACCTTTGTAAAGTCCATCCCATTCTGTTTTCTCATTTGATGTTCTCAGCATGACAAAGGGTGAGTTTTCCCCATTTTACAGATGAGGAAACTAGTACTCAGGAAAGACAAATATCTTGCCTTGAATCACATACCTAGTGAGAGGCAGGAGCCCAGAAGTAGAACCCAGGCATCCTGTTTCCTGGATTGGATTCCTGTCCTTGTCTCAAAGTGGGACATGCCTATAATCATCTCTCCTGGAAAATAGGAATCTGAAACCTCACCTGCAGAAATGGGGTGGGATATGGTTTAGGTATCCTAGAGCACCTCAGAGACTTCTCTCTTCAGAACCATTTCTAGGAAAGGGCTTCATCAGTTAAATTTCCTGAGATATGGATGAATAGCTGTCTCATGCTAGATTTGACTGTAATCCCATGGTTTACCAAGCAATTTTAGGTGAGAATTAGAAAGTAGTCCTAAAATCCTAAACCATCTTGCCAAAGAGGTCTTATTGTATACCAGACAATTTCCTTGAATTTAGCGTTCATCAGAGGCCCTGTATGAATCCCAAGCATTATCTAAACACCTAATCTCTAAGAAAAACCACAAAGGACAGTGTGATATGGTCCAGGACCCAAGACATCCCCCATAAGCAGAGAAGGCAGTGGCCAGAGGATCTGACTTGGTATGGGTAGAACCCAACCATGAGAGGGAGTCTGCTTCAGGTTCTATAGTGCAAGGATTAGGGGCTGCTGCGTGGGGTTGGGCCGTGGCCTGGGTGTAGAAATGTCAGGATGAGGTTCCCTTTACGAAGGCTTTCCTAGCCATTCTCTTTTGATGTTCACAAACCCGTTGGGAGAAAGGGGCCTCCCATGCTATTGGTTAGGAGACTGAGGTCCTGAGGGAAGCACCTTGTCTGCTGAGTGGCAGAGTCAAATTCTAACCCAGATTCTGTGCTCCATGCCCATGCTCTCACTACTGTACAACCCAGTTTCCTTGGAATGTTTCCATAAAACAAGGCAAATATGAAAGGAGGGAGGAAACATAGGAGCAGATCCTTTGCAGACAGGCCTTTAGCCAGGCATCCAGAAGCATTTCTGAGGTGTCCTGCTGGCTAAGAGGGTCAGCTTCTAAAGTGCCCTCCTCTAAGCAAATGTATCTCTCCTTCAGCACCCCTATTCCCTGCTCTAGCATCTTGTGTTAGGGCAGGCTCTTCCCAGAATAGCTTTCTTTTTTTTGTAAGGTTCTCCTTGTCAGAAAAAGCCTAAGACATCCAAACCAGAAGAAAACTCAGAGACCATCTAGTCTAAAAGGAAGTCTCTGAGGAGATCCATGTCCAGAGAGTGGCATTGGGCTTGACTAAGGCCACCTAGTGAGAGCCAGAGCCATGACTGCTACACAGGCACCCTGTGACCCAGCCCAGGGCTCTCTGCTTTGCTGCCTCTTACTCCACCCAAACAGATTCCTGGGAGCCAGTGCCCTGGCAGTCCTTTCAGGCTAGTCCCTGCTGTAACTCTGGTTTTACTGTTTTCCAGGTGAGACCTTTGCCCTGGGAAATAGTCTGGCCCGGTCCTTGGAGCCACACTCAGACTCGATGGACTCCACCTTGAATCCCACCAACCTTGTCAGCACCTCCCAAAATCTTCGAAACCCTGGGTACCGGCCTTTGCTTCCATCCTGTGGCCTCCCACTGAGCACTGCCTCAGCTGTGCACAGGTTCTGCTCCAGGGGTAAGCTTTTCAGAGTTCTGGCTCTCCTGCCCTCTCTCATTCATTCCTTCTTCCCTTCCTGAACCCTGGGAGGCCAGAAAGGACTTAACTCTGTTGCCTGCTGCCTGGAGGTTGGACTGGGGTCTGGGCTACCATTGTGCCTGACTAGGCCCCTGGGGAGCAATTGAAGCTCTGGGATTAGCTTGAGAATAACAGAAACTAAGAGCCAGCGACCTAGAGCCAAAGGGACAGGGAAGGAGTCCTTCATTCATTCATGAGCCATTTATTTGAACACCGTCTGTGTTTGTCATGGGGACGCAAAAATCAATCACTTCTTGTCCTTAAGGAGCTCAAAGTCTTGTGGGAGAGACAAACACTTAAATAGATAACTTGAAAACAACATCTTGAGTGTGGCTAAAGAGATACACTTTGAGTTGCATGAAAACTGCAAGAAGGAACACCTAGCCCAAGCTTGGTATCCAGGGGAAGCTTCCTTGAGAAAGTGTCTAACATTTTAAATGTTGACTATATTAATGTATTAGGAGTGGTAGGGGAGGGAGAGCTTTCCAGGGAAGAGAGTACAGTATGGACAAGGGCAAAGGGATAAGAACTAACACAGATTGTACCAGGAACTACACGCAGTTTGGTATTGCTGAAAAACAAAATGTAATTCTGGGACTTCAAAGGGAAAAAGCCTGCAAGCGTCAGGGGTTGTATCATAGAGGACCTTAAATGCCACGTTAAAGAGTTTGGAGTTGATCTTGTAGGTAATGCGAAGCTCTGGAGACTTTTACTTAGAGGCAAGACCTAAACAGGTTTGTGTTTCCAGCAGATCATTGACTACTGTGTTGTGGATGGAGCTGAGGCAGGACAAGAGTAGAGAGAGAGACCACTTAGGAGGTTACTTAGGTTTCTGGCCAGACCAGAAATGATAAAGACCTAGATTGGGGCAGTTGTAGAAGGTTTGTAGAAGAGAGAATAGATTTGAAAACTCTTCATGAGGTAAAATGAGTCAGATTCAAGGGGTTGTGAGGAAGGAGTGGGAATGTCTCCCAGGTTTCTAGAAGGGGTGACTGGATAGACGGTGGTGCCATTCACTGAGAGAGGGAACCAACCATAGAGGAGAAAGAAGGGGAGGGAGCCCGTGGGTCATCTAGGTGATACCCAGCAGGCAGTGGCTGTGCAGGTCTGATCCTCAGGGAGGAAGACTGAGCTGAAGTTAAATATTTGGGAGTCATCAGCAAATAGATGGAAGTTGAAGCTGTAGGGTGAATGACCCCAACTCCCAGGAGTATGTCTAGAATGAAAAGAACAGTTGACCAAAGAAGGAGTTCTGGGGACCAACAAAGTTCAGGAGGAGGGAACAGGAAGAGGATACCACCAAGGGGACAAAGGAGTAGTCAAATGTGAGGAAAAACATAAGAATTTGATACTGTGGTGGCCAGGAGTACAGAGTGTTTGAAGACGAGTACAACCCAAAAAGGTTCGGTAAAATAGGACTGAGAAATATCTGCTGGATATGGTGATGAGTGAGTAATTGGTGATCTTAGTAAGAGCAGCTTCAGTGGTGCTGGAGGGTGGTGAGGGCAGATTGCAGTGGGTGGGGATATCAAGGAGAGTTTGATGAGAAAAAAGGAGGTGACCTTCAAAAGAAGGTCTTCTAGAGTGGGTGCACGCTGGGCATGTGTATCAGCAGACAACTTGAGCCTTCCAAGAAGAAGAAATTAAGAATATAGGAAAGAGGAGAAAGTAAGGCCTTGTGGGTGGTAGAAAGGATTAGGGATCAGTCTTAAGACAGAAGGAGGCGCACACCTTGCTCCCTGTGACTGGAGGGAAAATTGGCTGTGGCCATGAGGGAGTGGAGAGAGGGCTGAGTAGGGAAGGGCTCCAGAGTGCCAGGAGATTGGACCAGCCATAAAGAAGACAGAAGGAAGTGGATCAAGGAGGAGGGGATGGTTTGCAGGAAACACGAAGGTCCAGCAATGCTTGGAGCTTGGAGGCTAGTTTGCCAGTTTACGAGAGCTATGGTTTTCTGGTGTGGTTCTTAGAAACCTAGATGTGGGGTGAAAAAAGGCAGTTTGAGAGGTAAGTTTTTATGTTGAGCTAGCAGGGCAGGAGGGGGCGGGGAGCGGGGGAGCAGGTACTCGGTGGAGCTGGAGGAAGAGGAGTTTAGATCATCAACTCTGGACCTGGGCAGGGTGGGGAAGAGGCAAGGCTGAGAGAAGGCTGAAGGATGGGGAGACTGTAAGCTTGATGTGCTAAAAATGTCTTTGTGACATAATGGTTACGGGGACATAGGTCCCAAGAGAGTTGAAAAGGTGGGATGTTGGGGTCAGAGGGGGGATGTTTAAAATTCCTCAGTGGATTTGTTCCAAGAGATGCAAGAACCAGACAGTAACCTTGGCAGTAAGCATTTGAAGTATAGTAGAGATGAAAGTCTCTGGAAGCAAGGCAGCAGTTGAATGGATTGCCTCTGAGGATTATGGCAGGAATTGGGGTGGAACAGAAGGTAGTGAGTTAAGTACCCAAAAGTCTTCATTTAACAAAGAGCAGATACCCAGAGATCTACAGATGAAAGTGATCCAGAAGAGCAGACGGTCGGTACATGTCTGGCCTCTGAAGAACACGAGCTTCCGTCGGAAGAGGGTCTAAAAGCAGCAGTGGGGAGACAGGAGACTGCCATTTCCACACCCACTGTGGCCTCCCCCAGTCCAGGGATGGATGAGGTGTGAAAGAATAAGAAGACTCCAGTAAGCAAGGCCTGCAGTGGCAGAGGGGGTTCTCAGGAAGGCCGAGACAGGGAGAGAAGCCTGGGATGGCCCTCCCCAACCCTAACCCCAGCAAGGCCCCGCATGGAACAGCGTAAGGAGCTCTGAATTAGAGGCAGAGCGGAGGGTTGGTGCCCTGCCTTGAGACGTAAGTCACCTCAGCTCTCAGGTCTTCATGCTCCTCATACACAAAGTGGAGGTGGTGATACTGACCTGCTCTTTTCACAGGCGTGTTAAATGGTTCAGATGGAAGCAGGGATATGGGGTCATTTTGGAAACTGAATCATTCCCGAGGTATGAGGGGGTTACTATTAGTGTTCTCTTCCCCAAAGCCCTGTTTCTGTTAGGAGTGCTTCCTTTTTTTTTTTAACTTTATTTTTTTTTATTGACGTACAGTTGATCTACAGTGTAGTGCCAGTGTCTGCTGCACAGCAGAGGGACTCAGTTATACACATATGGGCATTCTTTTTTTATATAATCTTTCCCACTATGGTTTATCCCAGGATATTGAATAGAGTTCCCTGTGCTCTACAGTAGGACCTTGTTGTTTATCCAACCCTGTTGACATATATAATAGTTGGCATCTGCTAGTCCCAAACTCCCATTCCTTCCCTCCCCCACCCCCTCCCCTTGGCAACCACAAGTGTGATCTCTGTGTGTGTGAGTCTGTTTCTGTTTTGTAGACAGGCTCATCTGTGCCATATTTTAGATTCCACACGTAAGTGACATCATACTGATAGGCTGCCTCGCATGGCACTGGCCTCAGATGCCACTGTTGTCTCCCAGGCATCTCCACTCTTCCTTTGGGGTACACTGGGAGTCTGTTGGCCAAGTCACAGTCAGAATCTCTTTTGACCCTGAAGATCCTCACAAAGCTATGAGAGAATTCTCTTTGGTTGGCCCTAGAATTGCTTCTCTCAAAGAATTTATATGACAAGTCTATGCCCTCCCTTATTTCATTGATCCATATGGTCGGGCCTCAGTTTGTCAGTCTGGCCTCTTGTGGATGCGCCCCACCTTCCTTAGTCATCCTCAGACTGAGACACTCTGCCTTGCGTGAAGAGTGACCACCAGCTGTACGCATTGGGTGGAGAGAGAGACCCCTGGTATAGTCTGTCTGCAGGAACAGGCATAGGAAAAGACAGAGACAGGGCACTAACTTCTCTCCTTCCTAGCTGTGTGGTCCTGGGCAAGTCACTTCACTTCTCTGGGCCTCAGTTGCCTCATCTCTAAACTAAAGATGATGATACTTCCTTCAAAAGCTGTTTTAGGGCTTCCCTGGTGGCACAGTGGTTGAGAGTCCGCCTGCCGATGCAGGGGACACGGGTTCATGCCCGGGTCCGGGAAGATCCCACATGTAGCGGAGCGGCTAGGCCCGTGAGCCATGGCCGCTGAGCCTGCGCGTCCGGAGCCTGTGCTCCACAACGGGAGAGGCCGCAGCAGTGAAAGGCCAGCGTACCGAAAAAAAAAAAAGCTGTTTTAAGGGTCAAATGACCTGGCGATGCTGGGAGTTCTGGGTGTATCAGGCCACTCTCCGCCACATTCACCACCGCCACCTGATGCATCCCAGTCGTCTCTTGCCTGGAGTATTGTAGTAGCCTCCTTTTCATCTGGTCTCCCTTGCTTCTGTCCTTGCCCCCCTAACGACTGTTATCAACGCAGACTCAGAGTATAAGTTGGTTCGTGTGACACTCCTCTGCTCAAAACCAACCTTCAGAAAAGCCAGTGGTTTGTCAGTGGCTTACAAGGTCCTCTGTGATGTGCCCTGCCACTCGTCCCGCCCCACCACATACATACATACTCTCAGATGTTATTTCCTGCCATGTTCTCTTCACTCACTCTGCTCCAGCACACTGGCCTCCATGCTAACCCTTAAACATGCCAGTCAGTCTTCTGCTCAAGGTCTCTGCTCAAATGTCATCTCAGAGATGCTCTCCTGACCACTGTATAAATTAGCAACTTCCTGCCTCCTGCCCTCATGGAGTGTATGTTCTAATGGGGTAGGCTAACAGACAAACATGTAAATATATAATAGTATTATATATGAGTATATATGTGTGTGTATTTATAATATCATTATATAAGTATGTGTATAATTGTGTGTGTGTGTGTGTGTGTGATTCCTAGCTCCCCTGGGTAGAGGGATTAGCTAAGATGGTCCAAGAAGCTAAGATGGACATATTCATGTGTAGTATCTGCTCCCTGCTCTCCATCGTCTGTGCAGCTGGTTTCTGTCTCAGCATCGCAGTGGACTTTCAGGGCAGGGCGAAGTGGCTGGCTCACACAGCCCTCTCCAACTCCCTGTCTACCACCCCTCCAAAAAGCCTTTGGAATTTCTATGGCGCTAATCACCCTGCTTGCTCCAGCACACTTCTCTCCGGTCTGGTCAGTGCCCAGCTACAAGCTTGAGAGGTACCCAGGGAGCAGGAGGGGTGCCAAGCCAAGTGTGCTTCGACTTTTAGACCTGGGACCCGGAATGAAGGAATATGAGAGAAGATCTTTAGCCTTTGCAAGACATGGTTGAAGAGTCGGGCCTTTCTACTTCCATTGGTGTTTCACCTCTGACAGTTGGCTGTTGACTGGGCATCTCCTGGGTGGTGAGGATACTGACACGAGCAAGGCAGGGTCCCTGCGTCAAGACAGACCTAGTCTGGCGGGGAGACAGAAAAATATACGTGGAACTATTACATAGGGTCATTCATTCATTTAGCAAACGTGTTTGAACGTGTGCTGGCAGAGCAGGCGCTCTTTTATGCGAAAGGAAGACACTCTCCTCCTGCCTGTCTCCCTACGCTCAGTGCTCTGTTCAGCACCGCTCAGTGCTCTGTTCAGCACTGCTTAACTTCCCTGCGGACGTCTGGGTCTCCACACACCAAGCAATTCTGTGATGCCAGCTGGGCCTCCTGCAGTTTTACTCAGTTCTGACACTAGCTCCCTGCAGGAAGCGTCAGATCCCACAGGATAAGGGCTCAGTCCCACAAGACTGACCCCCCCACACACACACTTCAGCTGCCAGTTCAAAGTTCACATTGTTACCTGTGCTTCTGACTGACTGGCTCTAAATTAGAGGTTCCTGTGCTCCCTTCCATGGGTTTGATTAACCTGCTAGAGCATCTCACAGAGCTCAGGAAAACTGTTTACTTGCTAGATTACCAGTTTTTTACTAAAAGGATGCAATCCAGGAACAGCCCAATGGAAGAGATGCATAGAGGAAGGTATGGGGGAAGGGGTATGGAGCTTCCGTGCCCTTCCTGGGTACACTACTCTCCCAGTACCTCCACACGTTCACCAGCCCAGAAGCTCTCTGAAGCCCTGTCCTTTGGGCTTTTATGGCGACTTCATTATATAGGCAAGGTTGCTTACTTATGTCGTTGGCCGTTGGTGATTGAACTCAATCTCTAGCCCCTCTCCCTTCCCCAGAGGTTCGGGGGTGGGGCTGAAAGTTCCCACCCTCTAGTCACCTGGTTGGTCCTTCTGGCAACCAGCCCCCATCCTTAGGGGCTTTCTAAAAGTCACCTCATTAACATACCCAGGTGTGGATAAAAGGGACTTGCTATGATTAGCAAAAGACACCTTTATTTCTCCGACCACTTAGGAAATTCCTAGAGTTTTAGGAGTTCTGTGCCAGAAAAGGGGATGAAGACAAATACATATGTTTCTTCTTATTAATCAGAGTATCACAAGGACATAGCAGGGAGTAGGAGAAGACAGATAAACATAAATGCATGGAATTACTGTAGGTTGTGATATGTGCTGGGGGTGGAGGGAACTAGAGTAACTGGATTGAAGTGATTATGTGGGGACTGAGTGCTTTTATTCGGATATCAGGGAAGGCCTCTCAGAGGAATCAATATTTGAGATGAAACCCAAATGTTGAGAAGGAATCAGGTGTGCAAAGATGTGGGGAAAAGACAGTTTTAGACAGGAAATTGTGTGTCTGGGTCAAAGAATAAAAGCATGGCTTATTCAGGAGGCAGAAAGAAAGAGTGGCTGGAGCTTGGTGAGTAAAGGATGGGGGGAAGGGGGAGAGGAGATAGAAAGGGCCAGATGATAGGATACCTTCTAGACCATGGCAAGGGGTTCGACTTTATTTCAGGTACGCCTTTCGAGGCCATTGCATTTATTGACATGATCCAATTACTTTTTTTTTTTTTTTTTTTTTTTTTGGGTTTGGGGGCCTCTC